CCCGAAGGGGTAGGCAGAGGTGCACATTATGCCACTGTACAATGTAACACCCACTTTTCACTATTTATGTTACGAGTCCCATGTAATAGGGGGTGAGCCTATTGCCATATACCGGGCACAATTCCAGACTCCGTGCTACTACTGAGATTTTTTTTAAAACCCAGTAATACTTTGCCCGACCCGGGAATCGAACCCGAGATCCCTTGCCCGGCAATCGCAATTGTGACCACTCGGCCAACGAGGCAGTCAATCCTAATAATGATACCGGCTTACTAAAGGATATTCTATATTCGTTTATTTTGACAGGGTATTGTTTGTTCAGAAATGACTGCTGTTGTACTTAGTTCTGAAAAAAAAGCTACCGATTCTTACATTAGCCCTGGTAATTTCGGAAAACTTTGTACCTAACTGTCATACCTAAAAATCAACATTACGTTATATTTCATCGTTGGTTCTTTTTGCAAAAGAAGAAGACGTGTACATACCTTGTTGTAGATGGGCAGTTATCGTGAATTTTATTGGTATTAATTTGTATTCAGTCATGTTCCCGAGTGACCGAGCAACATGTTTCCCACCCCCACCACGAGTCCGACCCAATTGTAATGCAACGGCGGCCGGGTCCGGCGCGCGGGCATTGTGCGCGCACCCGCTCCCGCCGCCACCTGCCGCGCCGGCCGCGTACCATGGTCGCGCAACAGGCGCAGCACGCCTCATCGCCTGCCGCGCCGCGCAAGTCACTGCGCCGGCTCGCTTCCACACGAGGCTTCAAACCCCGCGCAGCCAACGAATATGGCTGGATTCGTGTTTTTGAAGGCCTCGAACCGTTCGCCATCGATGCGCCCAGTAAACTAATCAAGGTTACACTTAATACCACAGTGGAAGAAGTGAATAAAAATCTTGGTTTCAATGATGAGCTATTGCTTTGGTTGCAAATTGGTGGTGCAAATTCGCGACGATTGGAACATGATGAGTATCCTTTGAGGATCCAAGAACAATACTTAGCAACATGTGGTTGGAGATCACAGGCGCGAAGGATGCGGCTGGCAGTAGACCCGGAGCTGCGGCATATGTTGCGGTGGTGTGCAGGACCAGCTCCGCGCTCAGGCGGCGTGCTCAAATCCGGGACAGTTTGCGTGCTGAAAGGACATGTATTTCCACAGTGGAAACCCAGGCCTGCCTATGTGATAGGATCTAGACTACATTCTTACGGTATGTAGCATTCAGGTATAATTTAGCCTATTATTATAAACATACTTGTCCTGTCTGAAAAGCATACTTACCCTGATATTAAAACTTTTCAGGAACAACCTGGGAAATGTTAGAGTTAAGTGGCGGTAGTATTGAGTTATGTCAACCCAAGGCTCACAGACTCGTGCTCTGCGTGAAACCGCGTTGTCAAGGCAACATCACATCCGCAGACAACAGTATGAATCACCTCTTCCTCGGGTTTAGTACCATTTGGGAGAGAAACATGTGGTTCTGCTGGTTGAAGGAGGTAAGGTATTCAACTTCGACGACGTGAGCGTACAAACACAACCACAACTAATCTGTTTCTAAAGTAGACAAGTATAAGCAAATTGGTTTAGTACGGTTGGCAGGTAAGCACGAGTTTAAGCAGTGTAATTGGAGCAAATCTGATGTAGTTTTATGTTTAGTTCCGTCGCGCGCTCCACAGCGTGCAGATATGAGCTCTTAGCAGATGATTGAGAATTTGATTCCGGTACACTTCTCAAACTAACGAACCATCAAGCTAACAGCGGTAAATTGTTAGAAATTCTCTAAAGCTTATCAAGTTTTTGACGTTTCAATGTACAATTTGACATTAATCACAATAGGGTTGTATAACCATGACATGTGTATGGTGCTGTAATATAAAAACAGTTATTATTTTCATCACAAACCACGTTTATGACGCTCACTTATTCATAGTCACAATATCATAACTATCGATAGAAAACAATAGCTTGAAAAATTGTAAACAAGATTTTCTTAGTCATTGCAAATGACTTCGCTATATTGAAATTGAGCACTTATATGA